ATGTAGTGGAAGTTGAACTAGTGCCTTTGTTTTCATTGTGGTATTTTGCATGACTCAAAAACCGCTGTGTGGTAATAGAGAGAGAGAGACTGTGGCTGTAGTCAGCATCCTCGATCGCCCCCAGTAAGTAACACATGTCAGAATGCTTCATTACATTTCATTTCATCGAGAGAGAGAGAGAGAGAGAGGTTTTCTCTTTTTATCTATAACACACACACACACACACACACACACACACACACACACACACACACACACACACATACAGCCATACTGAGTGAGATTCACACTGACTCTCACACATACTCTGAGTCACAAACACTGCAGTGGAGTTCTCTCTCTCTCTCTGCCTCTCTCTCTCTCTCTCTGCCTCTCTCTCTCTCTCTCTCTCTCACTCTCTCTCTCTCTCTCTCTCTCTGTGCCGGTGCTCGTCCCTCCTTCTTGAAAGCAGAAAACACTCTGGTCTCCATCGTATGAAGCTGGCTGCCGTTTTGAAGCTCCATCTTTCAGTTTCTCTCTTTTCCAGCTTTCTTTTTCTTTCCTGCTCTCTCTCTCCCTCATACTGCTGTTGTCTTTCTGCCTTGTTTCTCAGAGAGGGTTGTGCATCTGTGGGGGTTTGTGTTGTAGGCTAGGGGAGGAAACATGCAGCATCCTGGAGGAACATGTGTAGCATTACCCAACGTGGATGCCTGTCCTCAGCTGTCCTGTGCAGCCCTCACCTTCATGTACTTACAGCAGGTGAGAGAGTGAGAGAGTAAATGAACGAGTGTGTGTGATATCTTGAGTACGTTCTGCTTTCTGTTGATGCCAGAGGTGAGACTTGCCGTTTCCTCTATTCTGTCATGTATATTCATGGATCTCTAGTATGTGCAAATGTTTGGGGACCATCTGTCCTGCCAGAAAAATCTGATGTCCTTTCCACTTCTCTTAAGAGGAAGCTTGTGGAAATCTTCTAGGAAAGGTTCAAGGTTGTTAACATCATTTATTTGGATAAGTGAGAATGATCTTGTTCCATATTGTAGTGTGTTTATATTATGTAAAGCATAGCTATAAAGTTGTACCATTTAGCAGTGTGACCCATGTAGATATTTTGGAAAAAGCCGTGTTTATGCATCACAGATCGTTTTAAGGTAAATGTCAGGTCAGCACGTTTGTGCGTTGCAATTTTTTATGGACATATACATTTATTTAGTCATTCTTAACAATTTTTAGTGTTGCTGTTAGCGCTACGTCTTATCTGCTGAAATATTATGTGTGTTTGCTAATGTACTGGCAGAGCACTTGTTTTCACGGCAGTGTTTACAATGCAAACAAAATCTTAACTGCATGAAGTCATTCATAATGTTCATAATATGGATTCAAATCCTGTTTAGACTGAGTGACACTGGTTTGGCTAAAAGTAAAGGGAAATGTATTATAGTATGACCCATCTATCTCTCTATCTCACACATATATAGTAAAAAAAA